TCCAGCCTTACAGCTAGCGGAGTTCCCGAGTTTGCGCCTTTTTTTTTTTTTTTTATATATAATTATGAAACAAGCAAACACAAATGTTTTAGTTCCTCTTGTCTTCTCTTTTCCATCCGGCTCGCTTTTCCCTCAAGTCAAGGGGAAAACATGGCGCTGTAAAGAGATTGCAAATAACCAGTAGTTCGGAATATGTGTAAAATGTATGTGAGCCTCCGGAGCGCGAGCTCGGACAGTTCTGGAAAGCAACCGCAAGGCTTCCCTCCTGGCGGGTAGAGGGCAGCAGAAAGTCCGGAGAGCTGTAGAGGCAGCATCTGTCCAGAAACTCGCATTAAAAATGGTACAGTTTTGAGGGGGCTAAAAACTGTTTCCCTTTTTTTTTTTTTCCTTTTTTTTTTTTTTTTAAAAAAAAAAAAAGCTGACCTTTATTCTGGCACTGGTTCCTAGTTTAGAAGGCCACTCACTCGGTGCACAAGTAAATTGCAAACCACAGCATAACGATAAATGACAGGCCAGTGTATTCTGTGTGTACCAGAACAAATATCATCAGCTTCGCTGCAGTTGTTGCTTGGGTAGGGCTGGCTTTAGAATCAGACTCTGTGTTTTTAACGAATAAAAATGGTGCTGAACTGCTTCCAAAGGCTTGATCGACTCCCTGTTGCTGAATGTGTGCATTGCCCCAGTCTGTTTTCGATGTGTAAATTTCTCTACTTGCATTTTCCTGTTTGAGAAGAAATATACTCTAAAGGCTCTGCCTAGTTTTGGATAAGTTTGCCTTAACTGTTTTTAACTGCCTTTTACCTCATTTTTTATTAAAGGATCTAAAAGCCCTCAGTCATTAAATGTCTTTGACGTTCCCACTCCCTCACTGTATCACAGGACGGACGTCTCTGGCAGTTTAGGAGCATTTCATTCCTTTGAAGTGATGCAATCTGTACGTTGCTGTAGTTCAACTCATAACATGTCCCATATACTGTTGAAAATAGTACGGAGCATTTGTTGGCAAGATTGCATTTCAATTACTGTTGTGGTTAGAAACTAGTTCCAGCTGTCTCTATAGTAATAGGGAGATAAGTTATCTATTTAATTTTCTTTCTCTTAAATGAAAGAAGCAATTGAGCTGAACTGTCAGCTTAATAAATGTTACTGGGATACATATAACTAAATTGTCTAAATTGTCAGGAAACTGCCTCATGCTAAGCAACAGTAATATAATAGTAATGTGGTGAACCAATCTTGTTCCGTATAGTGTGTGTTGTGCATGGGGGAGGCACTAAGAGGAAAAAAGAGAATGTAATGTCAGGTCACTGAGGCTGATGAGCCTTTTTCTTAATTATTGTTTTAATGAGACCTAAAGAATTGCGTAGTTTACAGGTGCATGTGGAATGGACCTCGGATCTAATCTAGTATTGGTGGTTCTAAACATGTGGTTTTTTATCTGTTAGCAGAATAAAGACTTTTAAAAAAAAATGTGTTACTTGGGAGTGAAAATTCTTTCTTGCCCCCATATTGCGAGGTAGGAGGAAATGGAAGTGTCTTACAGAACTGTGTGAATAGAAACTGATGTTTTTACTCTTTCCTGTCTCCAGCCTCTCCTTTCGCTGCAATTTTTTACACTGAAATGACCCCTACTGGCTACAGTTATAAACTTTTTTTTTTCTTTCTTTTAAGCTTCAGCGAGTGTCTTAGCTTGGTATATGAACATGTACTGTGCTATGGAAAGCCTCATTTATTTTAAGAGCTGTAATTAGAGCAGGTAAAAATACTTGGTATTGTTCTTTCAAATGATAATACCAACATGCTGATCATAGCAGAACTCTAACACTTGAACTAGAAACTTGTGGCATCTGTCAGCGGTAGAGGTAGTCTTTGAAACTAGAATGTATTCTTTGTAAAGCCATCTTTTATTGATACCTGGTACTAATTCTAGGTAATCCTCTTCATTCTTTTAAAATCTGAAGGAAATCCTCGTCTGTCTTAACACTTCAACTACTTGGGTCTTCATGCACTTCTTAAGACTTGGTTTGTGGCACTTTGCCATTGTATGTGAAATGTCCTTCTTGAGTGCACTGGGGAGTTGTATTCTTAATGAAGAACAACTAAGTCAGCCACCCCAGGCCTAGATGAGTAATTTTTCTAAAGGGCAATCTTGATTTTTTTTTTTTTTTTTTTTTGGAACACCTCCAACTTCTGTTGACTTTAGGGGGAGTTTGTTGGATAAAGTTAAGGTACCTGTGCCTATAGCAGACATACAGTCTCCAAAAGTGTCTTCAAACTGAGAAACTCAAAAGCTGCCCTTGTTCTGTCTTTGAACTTGGTCTGAGAACCACCTTTTGGATAGCGTGGATATCTCTAGAGCTCTTGAGCCTCGATCCCTGTGCTGTGTGGCTGTGCAGAGCTCCTGATTTCCGGATGATGGAAAAGCTTTGGGAAAACTGAGCAGAGGAGGCTGAGCTTCTCTGTCAAGAACTTTCTTGTGATGAAGATTTTATTGTCTCTTTTGGCATTTTGTCAAGTTCTGGTGCTCTTGCATGCCTCCATTGCTTTGTTGCACTGTTGCAAAAGAGTAGCGGTAACAACAGGGAGCTTGGAGGGCCCTTCTCTGCTCCCTTGCTGGGAGAAGCCGGAAGAGCCTGGTGTCGGGAGTGGTGGGTGTGTATTTTGGTGTCACTTTTCGTTGTTGTTGTCATCTTGTGGCTTCCCTTGCCTCCCCACCATGCAATTTAGGCTTACTATAGACTATATTTTTTCCCTAGAAACCTGCCATCGGGTAGGATATACGAGAACACAGGGTGTTGTACTGAAATGCAGTGCGTTTGAAACTGATGAGAGGAAACCAAGCTGTGAAAACAGGTTGTCCTGTGCCCTATACCTAGGAGAAAAGTGGAGCCAGAGTCCAAAATATAGCGTTTCATCTCCAAACTTCTGTACACTACACATGGCTCTCTTGTCCATAATACAGGCCAGACCCTTAAACATGAGGTAGCATTTTACTTTGAGTACAAGTCACTGAAGCTCTTTTAATTTAGAAAATAAAGCTTATGATGCTTTAATTGACTAAAGCACTGTTCCCCAAATTACTGTTTTCGTTGCTCTGTTATGCAGTGAATGGTTTGAGAAATATTATCCAAATGGTTTTAATGTCTAAGTGCATGGGGAGCACTCATTCCATTGACGCCAAGTGTTAAGTCCCAAACTAGATCCTTGGTTTTAATCGGTGTGAAATGTTGATACAAAGATAGTCAAAATATGTGGTTTAAAGGCTGACCGCAAACCTGTTGCGGGGCAAGGAGGGGCGGGAAGAGGCACAAAACTGAGTTGTTCAGTACAGGTTGGATAGTTTATAACCCTTCTGTACCCTGGCATACGCTGGTGTCGAAGTCTCAGTCAACCTCTAGCAGAAAGTGTAAGTTCAAGGTGAAGGGCATGGAGTGTGGATTACGTGAGGTACTTGCTGTTTGACTGGGAAATAGTTTTTTCTTTCCGGGCATTGCATTTTGACTTTTAGACTTCCCTTGTTTGGCTCCAATATTTCAACAAAAATGAAATGAAAAAACCTCAAAAGGTATGAGGAGGGATAATGATGCAGGATTTGGCTTGTTTTTGTTGCTGTAGATGAGCACAGTTAGTTTTAAACTAAAATCACTCTGTGAACAGGCTGATGACTAAACTTGTTAACTTGTGTATGGCAAGACTATGCTTTTGTGGTATTCTGTACACACACACACACACGCACCCCAAAAAAAAGAGCTACTTTTTTTTTTTTCAATTCATTTCATTTTACCTGACCATTCATCAGGCATCCTCTGCTGCTGTCAAAATTTTACAGGAGGAGGAAGCTCAAGAAACAGCCATTTTTTAAGAATCCTACTAAATGTAAAAGCATGTGTGTGTGTGTGTGTGTGTGTTAACTACCTTGAGGCTTGGCAGATAGTTTGACTGGAACTAGTGCAATGATTACTTGGGTAACTTCTGTACCCCTAGGCATGTTTTCTGCTTTAAATACCCTCTAGCTAATTCAAGAGTACCTGCATAATTTAACTTTTTGCATAACACTTTGCTTAATCAAACCAGATGTCATTTGAATTACAATCATGTTATGCAATAATTAATGTGTTAATATGATTCAAGCATGCCTGCTTTTTCCTCTTCCACTCCTTTTTTGGGAGGCTTCTTTCCTTTCCTGAATTTTCTCAAAGAATAAAATTTATCCTTTTTGCAAAAAGACGAAGTACTTCTGTTTCAACTTACTATTTATTTTTTAAAAGTGACCTATTATGTATGTATTGACTTGTAAATACTTTCATTTAACCCACAAAATAAGTTAACACAGAAATGGTAAACTCCAAGTTTTGACCAAAATATCGTATGGCACCACTTTCAGTGTTATGTTTTAACTCTGTCTTTTAGTGTATATGTATAGGATTTAGAAAATGGCTAATACTGACATTTAAAGCTTGTCTGTATGAAGAAACTTACCAATATGAGCTATAGACTAGTTGTGCCATGTTCAGAGGGCATAAGTCGACAATATTATGTTAAGATGGATGAAAGTAGCTCACACCTTTAGTGTAGCTACT